AATAATTTGAGTGTGAGAACTTACCAGGATCTCGGAAATCTTAATGGGATCGAAATATTTAAGCCAACCACTACAGAAGATATCAGAAAACTATATTTTTTTCTTCTCTAATATATCTAATGGGTAGTCTAAAATATTATTCTTTGATTATTGTAGTAAAAATATAGGTTTTTGGTAGGATGTCACCATCGGTATGATGAATATTAAACGGATTAGTTTGGGTTTTTTTCTTTTGTTTGTTTCTTTATTTATGTGAATAATCTGATAAGTTTATTATGTGATTTGATATTAATATTTAAAGAACAAAATTTATTTATTGTTGTTTGTGTGTTCTATTGATAATTTTTCTTTTCATACTAATATTGATAATTCTCATTGTTTTAACTGGCTGACTTTTTCATAAATGTGGTTTTTAAGTTATGCTTTAGATGTTTCTAATATTTATAATATGGCATCATAAAAATGAAAATAATATATTTTTTAATACAATAAGGATAATAATATTTATAATATAGATATAGACTGTATTTTTATGAAGTTCTTCCCTCAAAACAAATAAAAATAAAATAAAATAATATATTTCCACTTTTTGTGTTGATCTCCAAGTTTTAGTTGACTTACATTCAGTAAAATTTACATTCAGTAACTTTTAACGTTTTACTGATATATATATATATATAAGGGTAAAAGTTTGGATCTACTTATATTAATAATTTATAGTTGTAATATATTTACAACTATGGATAACTATAGATAAATTTATTGTTATCTTATATAAACATTGTAAATTATTACTTAAACACTTAAATGTAAACGATTTATGCTTGATATTAGCCTAAGCGTTCATTTGGTGTTATACTTTATCATATCATAGATCTTTTCGAAATCGCTTCTCTTATTTTTAAATATTTTCTTTTTTGAAAAAATCATATTTAATATTTTATAAATTAAACGTCTGCTCTCATATCCTCGTTCCTTCATATTAATTATATAATATGTAATAGAAAATTATTAGTATATAATTAATAATAAATATATATTGTAGAAATAATTCTTTGTTTCTTCACATTTTCTTTAATTAATTTATAATGTTATTTGTGATTGTTATATAATATAAAATTATATTTGGGTACACACAATTTTTATTTTGTATCCGCTTCTTCATCTTCATCCGCATCTGTCATGCAATCGAAAATAGACAGTTGTGTTAGTATAGTGAATTTGGAAAATAAGATTTCAGTCATGTGGTAGAACAGTAGCACCACTTCCTTGTCTTTATTTGCTTCCTTAATTGAGGAAAGAAGATCTCTCTACCAGCTCCTTTTCAGTCACTTCCTGATGGACTTGTCGGTATGTGTATGTATTTAGTTTTTGTCATATTTTAAATTTCCCATTGGATATAGAGAAAATAATATTTTCAGTCGCTTGTTTGAACAATTTCTTTTCATTTTGACATGTTGGCCACAGATCATCCTTCTGTCGAATATTAGTCGAAGATAACGCAGTGGGTCCGTCAAAGGAATTTGGTTCTCGACAATCTAAACTGGTCTCGTCAAAGTGAAAATGATTTTCAAATTTTCCAAAATTAGTACGAACTTTGTAGATTTAGAAGATTTAGTGAGGCTACTTTGGGGTTGTAATTCTTTGTTAAATCTTTAAATAATATCGACAGCGTTAGTTGCAATCAAAGTTTCAGAGTTGCTTCGTATGTTGCCATCCTTGTGTATGTATATACATAACGTAGAATGAAGGAGACAGTATCGACCCTTGAGGTTCTCCTGCTTAACTTTATTATTTAACTTTGTAGGTAGATTTAAAGCACACTTTGATAGGAAGATTTGTTTAAATTTCTAACCTTATTGTTTGTGATTAAGAAATATTTGCCGAAAAGGAAATACTGGAGAATTTATAGTATCTATGTATTTTTTTATTTATTTTTTTACTATACAGTATATAAAAAGATGATATAGTGTTTATAATGATAGTGAATTTAAATTACTATTCTTTCTTTTTATAATTAATAATATCTCCTTATGATTTTAAAGTTAATGATAAATTGAAAATTATGATTCTAATATATGTTCCGATGTTTTATTATATATATCTTTTTTTTAATTTGTATTCTATATACAAATACTTCATACATGAAAGATAAATAGATAATTTGTGATATGCCACACTTGATAATTGTGATAATTTGAGGAGATTTTTTTATCCAGTTCATAACCATAGATGGTTATGTATGTGGTCAAGAATTCCAAATCACCTGTTCCTATCTTAACAAATAATAAATGTATGCATGTGTAAAATTTGTTTTAAATGTATGTAAAATATTTTTAAATTAGTGCATTACAGACTAATGATTCACATACTGTTTAATATTGGGAATTCGTGAGTAGGAAAGGAGTTTGTGTTGATTTTATTGAAGGTCAATAAACTATTATATTCAGTAAAAAAATTTATTTCTATCACAGTACACGGGCATCAATGTGATGTTAATGTTATATGGCTAAACCGTACAAAAATGCTTATTTTATTACAAAAACAAATAAAAATCAAAAACCTAAACTACAATTGGTAACACTATTTATATTACATATAAATTAATTTGAACCATATTAATCGATATTTATCGCCTCATAGTTGTATACCATCATAAAAAATAAGTTCTATCATACTTGACAATGTTTATAAATTATTATTATTTTACAAAACTAGAAATTTTAACTAATAGTATAAATTTACAATGGATAACTGTGTAAGATGAAATCATTAATAATTAGAACAATAAAATTCCATTTAAAAGAGACTGTTATTTTCAAAGTCATGCTGCACTATAATTTGGCTTAAAAAGTCTTATGATTCATTAAATTCAATGAAATAATTGGTTAAATATAAAAATAGTTGTAATATTAACAATGATCCAGTTTTAATCGTAACAGTTATAAATCATTTAATTAAATTTGAGTATAAAATACATAAACATACAGTATATATGAAAGTGTTAATTGCTGAGCTCTCTAGATATATTCAGTGAAACCGTTCAGAAAAAATGATCAGAAATTAAGTTATACAGATATATCAAAATCTTTTAATTTTAAAACGTAAAAAAATTAAGGAAGAGACCCATTCAGAAAGATTTAGACCATTTTGTGACATTAAGCACGTATGATTAATAGTATCCATTTTTAAATCGATGTTCTAAAGAAATATAAGTTGACAGTTTTGCAATTAAAATTCTCGTAACAATTATAACCTCAAAAAATAAATAAGAATATTATTATTCAGAGAAAAACAGAAGAAAATATTGCATTTTAAACTTCTGTATCGTTGTATAACGTGCAATTTTTATAATAAATAAATGTTATAAAAGAGCGAAAGCATCTATTTTATAATCAATAGATTAATAGAAGGGTAATTTAAATTGTACGACTGCAAATCAGAGGAATTCTTGACGAAGAAATTCAGATTGCTATAACAAGAAAAGTAAAATAATGATCGTGGGTGACTACAAGATCTTAAAATACCAATCGTCACTTCAACGACTTTCAATGAACTAGATGAATTCGGTGTTGGCTGAATTCGAAGTTGACGAAGAAAATACTATTGTGTCTGTAGAAAGTACGGAAAAAACTGCCACAATAAAGAAATTGAGATCTACTGTCATGGTAAGAATCGGATCAGAAAAAGCATTGAAGTTATCATTTTTCTTGTGAAATCGAGTGAGAAATGATTTTTTGTTAAATTAAAAAAATTAAAGTGCGTTTTATATATTTTAAGTTCAAGGGAAAAAATTATTTCGGCTTAATCAAATTTGCATACAGGACAACAAAAACTGGAATTTCGGTCAACACAATTTTAAATCACTCTGTAGTTATGAATTCAATTTATAAATTTCAAATATTATGAAGTCTTTTTACATATGCCTAAAAATGGCATAAGGTCGAAACGTATCATTTGTTTAAGGATATATAGTATAATATGTAAAATGGAAATTCGATTCAGCCTAAATAATTTGAATTGAAATAAGATTAGTTTAATATAAATGTAAATCCAGTTGATGGAGGAAAAAAATGTGATTATTGATTTCAGTGAAATCAAGATCTACTCCCTCATGTTCGTATGTCTCATTTACGTACGCCAATCAATGGTTTTTTGCTTTGCATTTTTACACTATTGTAAGTTATTATGAAAATTTAAATGAAAATAAATAAAAAAATAATTGTAATAAATATTTGTCCATAAAATTAATATTTTTATTTAAATATTTGAAGAATTAATATAATCTACATTTTCAAGCATCTTAAGTGTTCTTATTATTTCATATTGTCTGACTATTACAAATTTAACTTTAGTTTTACTTTTTATATCCCTTTTTTTCAATATTCTTAATCATATTATGTTTTTAGAAACAAATAATTAAATCCAAATAAAGATAAGTTTAGGTAACGACAACAAACAAAATTTTCCTTTCAAAGCGATTAGTACTGATGAGCAATCTGTAATTAAATTAACATAAACATGGACCACTTCAAGTCCGCGAGGAAAATTGTGAAATTATCTATTAAGAAACAGCTCTTTGCATTAGTTAATTTAAGAGGGAGGAGATTATTCGGTTTAGGCATTATTAAATATATTCATGTTTCTTAAACTTCATTGAGAACATATAGAAGAATTGGACCAAGTGGCTATAAGTATAGGCTTGGAAATTCAAATCAATCAAACTTAAACACCAGAGATGAATGCAATATTAAAAGATAATTTTTTCAATGCAAAAGTATAATCTTGAGAAATAAATATTTTCGTCATGGTTTAAAAACAATTAATGATAAGACTGACTAGTTTGCAAGTTACATAAACACGATGGAAGATAAATGGAAAACGACTAGTCCAACAAGAGGTACAACAAATATTCTGGGAGGATATCATCAAATGACATTGAAAATAAAAATCAAGTTATCCTAATTTGTTTCGGAAATACGATGATGAGTTTATTAGAGTTAATGATGGTAGGACGTTGAGCCGTAGTAGTCGTTATAGTTTGGTTTGTAAAGGGACTTGTAGTGATCGTCGAGGTAATCACCATAGAGACCGTGTTCGGGGAGTACCACATCCTCGAACCCGCGGAAGTTGCTGAGCAAGTGGTCGTCGTTGTTGTTGAAGTAATGGGAGAAGAGGTCGCTGTAGTCGCCGAGGTACCCGCTGCCGTAGTACTGGCCTGCCTGATAGGAAGGGAGGACGTACTCAGGAGCTGAGAATGGTTTGCCCTCTGCGTGCGGTAGGGCGTGAGGCAGAGTTTGGATGGCCTTGATCGGCTCCAAGAACTTCACTGCATCGCCCTTGTATGGATAACCGTAGGAAAGAGCGGCCTCTCCCTTGTGTGGATAACCGTAGGAAAGAGCACCCTCTTCCTTGTGTGGATAACCGTAGGCAAGAACTGCCTCTCCCTTGTAAGGGTAGCTGTAGGGAAGAGGGGTGCCATGGTACGATGGGAATTGCTCGATGGCGTGTACTGCGGGGAGTGGGGCGTGGACTGCTGGGACTGGGAGCACGTGAGGTACTTCGTGATGGACTTCATGAGGGATCTCGTGGTGTATGCCGTGAGGTGCTTCGTGGTGGTGGACGAGGCCGAACCCGTCGTAACCGTAAGTTGGGGCGTAGGTGCCAAATCCTCCGTAGCCGTGTGGGTACGATTCTCCTTCTGCATGGCCTACTCCGTGCGGTCCATGAACGATTCCGTAGCTGTACCTCCATCCATCGCCGCTTGCTGAAACAAACAAAATGAACCATATGAATTATGACTGCAAAAAACTAAAAAAAAAAAACTTAAAAAAATATATTGGTTTGAATTGATGTTTTAGGCAAAAAACTTCTAGTTCATCAGCTCCTTAGTCATAAAAATATTATTATTAAAATACTTAGCTGGTAGGTTTAATGGAGATAAAAAATAAAATTAATAATGAAAACAATAATAATAAAATGAAATACATAAGTAAAATAATAGATAAAAAATATATACATAGAAAATAATAATAATCAAAAGAGTAAAAATAATAAAAAATAAACAAATAAAATACAGAGAAAAAAGGAAACAAAATATATATACTTAAAGCAAAACAAACTAAATAAAAGAAAAAGATATAAATAGGAATTATTATTATAACTCTTTTATTAAATTTATCCTTGACAGAATATATTGTTACCTTTGACCATTCTCCTCAACTAAAAATATTACTGTCCTTTGAGATTGATTGTAATATTTTTCAATATATAGACAAAAGTATAATAAATAATAATATTCAAGTATAATAAGACAAAAAAAGAAGAAAAAAAAGTTAAATAAAAGTGGTGTAAAAATATGTTTATTTCCTGAACTACTGGCTATTTTTCATTTATTGTAATGATATTTGCGTTTGTTAAGTATATTTAGAAAAATGATTAATCAAAAGATTTTTATATAATAAATGTTAAATTTTTAAAACAAAATTTCAATAACATTTTTTTCCCCGAATCACACACCATCTTCCCTAATCATTGCCCGATAAACTTTTGTTTTCTGTTCTGAAACTAGTCTTGAAGTTTAAATCCATTCCAAAAGCAACATAATGTTTTTTTTATTATAATATTTTCGGAAATGTGAGCTATGAATAAAAATATTGGTTAAATATGTTTTTGATATTACAATTAGAATAGAAAATATAGGTATTCGGATTTACTGAAAAATCAATTATAATAATTAGTGTTCACTTTGGAAATAAACGGCTAAATATGAGGATTCTAAAACAAAGACTTTAAGCATTTAATAATGAACTACTTAGTGATTCAACATTTTAGGAGTAATCAAGATTGAAAATCGCAGTAAAAAATACATTTTTGTAACGAAATAGGAAGTATAGAGTAGGGAGTATAGAGATTAAATTAGTTTAATCAGGTTTTCGTAAATAATTTAATATACCAGTTCTCTTACTATTCTTGAAGGGATTTGATAAATGGTTGAAGATATAGGATCATTATTAACAGACAAAAAGAAAAGAAATTTCAAATTAAATTTTGAGTAAAGTCCTAAGTAGTGGGTTGGGATGTCTACTATATGAATGGTGCCGGAACCCTAGGGCACAAGAGTTATACAATACTCATAAATCCGAAGATGCATGAGATTTTTCATCTCTCCTCATTATTTTCAATGCTTCATGATAATATGAGAAGATATTGGTGAGGAAGGGAGGAGTTGCAGTCAAATAGATACTATATATTAAAATAGTATTTTATATTTTACGCCAAATAAACAATAAAAAATACCCACCTTGTAGGTCTTCATCAGGGATACAAAAGATATAAAATATAAAAGGTGCATTGTGAAAATAAAATAAATGAATTATTAGTAGATATTAAATAAGAAACAGTTGATAAAGAAATAACAAGATGACATCAGAGATATTTATATCATCTTATTATTTCTTTATCAGACAACTGTTTCTTATTTAATATCTACTAATAATTCATTTACTTTATTTTTACTTTGTACCTTTTATATTTGTATCTTTTGTAGCCCTGATGAAGACGTACAAGTTGGGTCGAAACGTCGGCGTAAATAATAAAAACTATTTTAATATATAGTATTTATTTGATCGAACCCCCTCCCCCTACCAACTCCTTCTCATATTATAATCACTGACATCCATCTACACCTTCACGATAATAGTTTTCCAATAAAAAATACAGTACATTGATGTAAATTGTAGTTTATTCGTGACCGTAACCAGGTATGGCCACTTTCAGGATATTTCAATAGGCTTGGGTGAAGGGATCATTTACTTACCAGTTTCACACATATAAATAATAAACATTAAGATCAATTTACAATTCATGTCGAAAGTAGTTCCCGTTTGTGTCGCAAACCAGTTTTATTACTGCATCGACATGTTTGTTTTTGGCATGCGTTCAGTCTGACCAATGTCTAACCAATGTTCAGTCTGACCAATCTATTCCGTGCGGGCGTATTATAAGTTTTGCGGGGGTATGTAAACATTTCAATTTCTTAAGACACTCGAAAAATTGCGAAATAGGCACGATATGGGAGAAACGGATCACGGTCAAGTGATTGTATGATTGATTAGGAATTTGAAAGTAAATGAAAATGGGTTACTTTTATTGGATCAAAGAGTTGTTTGCCTCATTATACATTTAGCCGGTATTTTTACTGAATACTTTTCCTCGGACAATTTTTAGCTTAGCTATTCAGGTCAACCTTTGAGAACAAATATAAATATAATTTTTTTAGCAGCAGTGCAAAGATATTTTTTTTATTAATCGAAATTTAAAATTATAACAAATTTATACGAGTAAGTATATAAATAGAATAATATTACAGAACAATGGATAAGGCAGGAAATTCCTATTGAAACACTTAAAAAACTTACGGTAAAAACAACCGAAACGAAAAAAATATCTTTTACTTTATAATTATTTCATTTTTTATTCTCCATTTGCAGAGAAAGTCTCTGAGGTGGGAGACCAAAAGTCCAGCCACCTTCATATTAATGTTTATTTATTTTTTTATTTTTTTTTTAGGCGTTTAAGAATTTTTGAACAATACGTGCTATGTCTAAGAGAACATTATTTATTTTTATTATTTTACTTTATTCTTTTACTTTACTGAGAAATAATTTCACTACAAATATTTCGCCAGTAAATTCTGTTACTTAAGGCTAATACTCCCTATAGCTCCTGCCAGGTATGGGATATCGAAAGTCCAATTCCTGTGTTGAACGTGAATTTTCATCACCACTCACAAAGCATTGTGAGTAGATAAAATTTGTTTTTCTCTAATTTTTCTATTCATGAGATTGTATTTCTTTGAAATGCATTTTATTTTCTAATTATCTTCGACACACTCCTCGCTATGTATATATATATATATATATATATATATATATATATATATATATATATATATATTTTTTTTTTTTTCTTTTTTTTTTTTTTTTTTTCTCCTAATCTTTACGCGTAATCACTTAAATATCCTAGGGAACATATGTATATCTTTTTTTTTACAATTTATTTCTTTATATATTAACAGTATTATTTTATTTTTTATTTTTTTAAATTTTTGTTTTCCATAAATACAATGCTTTGTCTATAAAATTGTTTTGCTTTCCTTTCTAATTTCATTTAGTGATTATTATACTATTGTTTTAGCTCCAATATTGAACCCCTATTACCCAACTGTTTTCGTTAATTTATCCTAAGAGCTATCGTATTTAATTTATTACTAGTATTTTGTTATTACTGTAATAGGTCTTTTGGCAAGATTTATGGTTAATTTATATGACTAATAACTAATTGTTATTCTAAAGTTACCTAGTCCCAGAATAAAGATGATTTTTCTATTTCTATTTCTATGTTGTTATGGAGGTTAGGTTAGGTTAGGAGTTTTCCTAAGCCATCAACAACTTGGTTATTACGCCCTTGAGCTATGGTGTTATAATTTGTAACTTATTTCTGAATTTGAAAAAAAAAAATCTTTTTATGTTTTTCATTAATTACGATATTCTATGGTACAATTGTGTTTGTTTTAAAAGTTTTATGATATTTTCTATGGAATTTACTGAGTTTTTTAATGCTGGTTCTCTACAACGGGCTATATTGTTTTTTTCAAAGGCTTGATGGATTGATATAATCTTCTATTATATACTATATGGTTAGCGGGGACTGGCAGGTATCGCAATATGGCCCTCTTTTGTTATTAAATGGACATGAGTCAGGTTAGTATGATCAATTTTCATACTTGTCTCATCCACTTCTTCGCTTCTGATTCATCTTCCAGCGCTTACCCACTGTTTTGTAATTTTTAAAAAATATTTCTAAGTTTATCGATAGTCTAAAATGACGGACTTGAAATATCGATACTAATTTTTTTTTAAGAGTTGATATTTTCATGGATATAATAAACATTTTTGAAAAAACAGAAATTTTGAAATATTTTTTTTTTGTCTATAAAATATGTATTTGCGCCTGTCAACAATAATTTTATGAAATATGAATATGAATATAATTTGATTATCTAGCACATAGGTGCATAAAATAATATATTATTTTCTTCTTTAAATTTATTAATGCTAATATCAATTATTTTACCTACTTGAGCATTACAACAATCTGTCTCTTGGACATTAGTTATGGTGAGGTAGGATAACATTCACACTATATGTACAAAAAATTATTTATTATTATTATTAAATCATTTATTTTATTTTTTATTATTTATTATTTATTTAAATTAATTTTGAGGTTTCTGTCCCTCTTGATCATAGCCAGCTTATTACGTTTTACATCCTATATCGATAATACCGAAGTAGATCCCGTCGATGTTAAATATCGAATATCAGAGGGAAAAAATCGATATTTCGGTATTATTGACAATCAATGGCCATTCCTAGCTCCAGCTCTCTAGGTTGGGATGACCAATTATGGGATGGTATGGTGTGTGTGGCTATGCACTTTTTATTAAATGCGGTTAATGTATTTCAAGTCAAATCTTTAGTTATAAAATTCCTTTTTAATCTATTTTTATTTATCTAATTATTTCTATTACTTTTTATTTATGTCTATATATATTTTTTTGCTACGAATTTGTGTATTTTATTTAATTTTATCTTCTAGTTACATTTCCTTTTTTATTTATTTGATTATGTTTTTTTAGTTTTTTGTTTTTTTATTGTATATATTGTACGAATGAGCCTCAATCAGCTATAATACTCAGTGCCCTTAAATGCGGCAAATGTATTATTTACCAATAAAAAGATTTTTAAAAAAAGTTATAAAATTGTAAATTGATAACGTAATACGGAACTTTCACCGAAAAAATGGAATTCTGTATTATTGTATATTAAAAAGCTTAAAAACCTACTAGACTGGAGAGATAAATGTAAACCCAAGACATAGTAGAGTAGAAGGATGTTTTTTTTATAGGAACTAGCGGAATACGGGAAACGAAGCTATTGTTTATTGTCTTTTCATTCTTTATAGAAATATGAATTCTACATTTCATTTTTATTATTCCGTAACGTTTGTGAAATAATTTCACTTTTCTAAAAAATAAAATATGTTTCCTGTCTAAAGTTCAGAGGGCTGTTTACTCAGATGATGCCGAAAGATATTTATTTCATCTTTGTTCCCTGAAAATGAATCTTAGACAACTATTATTATAACCAGATCTACGTAAATTGGTTCTCATTTTCATTGCAACATAACGCTATTTTATTTAAGTACGTACACAACATTTTGTTATCTTACTATTTCTGTGTTTGTGTGTGTGTGTGTGTGTACAGCCTAAAAAGAAATAATTTGTAAGAAGAAATTACATTATTTAATTGGGATGTCATAGCAACTATTTTTACGAAAATCAACTATCCGGAAGTGGCTCATTATATTATCTATTTTCCACACATATTTACGCTTTTCTCGAAATCGTGTCTAACAATTAAATGGTATTTAATATCAGGTTGATATTAAACCACGTTCCAATAGCCTAAAAGGTTTTAAATGCCTAATTTTCAATATTTCTTCGTCTAAAGTAATCATTTCGTTTATTTGAAATAATTAGGTATCTCATATTATTAGTTCATAAAACAAATGGAAACAAAATTATAAACTAAAGAAGGAAAAAAGGATAAATATTTTCCGAATTGAAAATGAATTTTCAGAAATAAGTAGTCGATAAAGTTAGTATATTTTGTCGACAGAAAGACAAAACTTTGAAAAATTAAATTTTTTTTATATTTATTTGTAGAAGGTAACTCATAATAGTGCATCAAATTAGGAGGGTGTGGGAAATCTTCTAGCAATTATTTATTTTGTACATTGTAACATCTACAATTATTACTTTCACTTTTCTAAATATCAAAATGAATATTTCGTCTCTAATTAGGGCGGTAAGTGAAAGTTGTGTGATGCGTGCACCAAACCATTTTTTTTATATTTGTTAATACATTGAAAAGGAAACAGTAACTTATTTCTTCAGTAACTGAATACAAGCTGAAGTACAAATAGGTTTAGTTAATCAAATTAGTGATTATAATTAATCGTGGCTTAATATATAAGGAAAATTGATCTTCACGTTCTCTTGATGTAATTGATTCAACACACAATGGCGAATTTACCATTTTTTTTAAACTGAAATAGCTAGTAATTAATTTGTTCTTCGTGTAAGAGAAATCTCATGTTTTAAACTAGTCATGCGTGACATTTTTTTTTTCAATTAGATGCAATAATTAACTTTCAACAGATAATTGTCTATTTAAAGATTAAAAGTAGTAAAAAAAAAAGTAGTTTTAGTTGTTATTGTTACAAAGTATTTAGAAAAGGTGTTGAATGAATGCTGCTAATTGTTATTAATAGATAGACGAACCTGAATTGAGTTGGTTTTATTCATTAAAATATTTTTAAAAAATCAGATTTTTCTTCATTAGATGTTAACTATCCAGGTTGATTTTTCGATGCCCTCTGTTAGATCTACTGCCAGGATTTAAACTTTTAAGGAACTTTTTCAAAAAGTTTTTAAAATAATAGTTCTGAAGAATTTTGTTGTAATAAAGTTCTAAAATCAAGGTATAGTTTAATTATTATTTATTTAAAAATCTTAGAAAATATTCACAATAAGTAAGCAGTAATATGGCTTAAATTATATTTTAATTTATCGTAATTGAATTACTTGATTCTAATGTGTCATTTTTTGAGTAGTTACAAACGAAAGCCATTTTTAGATTGATTTTTCGACGAAATGAACAGGATGTATAAATAAAAGGTTTTTAAAAATAAAAATTCTGCAAAACCATGACTTGAAATTTCGCAAAGAAAAAAGTGCTAGTTACAAAATTAAAAAATCGACAGCAAATAATTCAGTCATACCGAAACTTATTAAAAATAAAAGTTAAAATTTTATTTTAAGTTCTGTATTCTACTGCAATAGGATGATTAGTTTTCGTAATAATTATTACATTTTTAGGTCAATAAATAAAATAAGTATATTGTTTTGGAAAAGTAATTGAAATCTGCATAATGTATGTGAAAAATGACCAAAAAATTGAAATGGTGGAATAGGTTAAATGATTAAAAGGTTATTGGTAAAAATTATGTTTATCAATTAATACCTCAACTTCAAAAAAAGTCAAATTGAGAAGTCTGATATTTTTTCTCATATTTAGAAGTCTGAAATGAAACATATTCGAGCGAAACAAATCCTTCACCGCAAATTCATTGTTGTTCTGTGCATTCATTTATTCATTGTAAGTAATAACCCTAATTATTTCGTCAATTGAATGATAATAATATACATCGAATATTAATGACAATTAATAATATTAATGGTATTGTTCTTGACTAGTCGGAAAACAAAACATATAATTTAATCCCTATTGCTGTCTATTTCTAATTTAACGTAACTCTTTTTTAAGAACTTTTAATATGTAATAGTAGAACTATTACCATAAGCCTAGAACTATTAAAAAACAAAATTCTTCACAACTATTATTTTAAAAACATTCTCCTTAAAAGATTCACAGAAATTGTTATAATGGAATCTTTAGAAAAAGTTCAATTAAAGTTTCAACACCTGGTGGAAGAACTAATGAAGGGAATCGAAAAAACAATTTGGCAATATCTAATAATGAATAAAAATCCGGATATTTTTTCCGTGATATTTAGGAACATACAAATATGTAGATCATAAGGCAACGCCGGTATTAAACATTTTTTATTTATTTTTTTAATAAACAATATTAACAAAATTGGCAATAGAGGTGCTATATCTAGTGTTGCTCGAAATCGCACTTTGCAAGACCAAGACCAAGACCGCCTAACTGTTGCAAGACCAAGACCAAGGCCGCCTAACTGTTGCAAGACCAAGACGAGGAGTTTAAAAATCGATTTTTAAAATAAAAAGTAAGGCAAAATAGTTACTAATACTTGACAATCTTTGTTACAATATCTTAATAATCGGTATAACCAATATACTTTTGCATTTATAACTTTTCATTCGGGCTTAGTTAGGTTTCTTCTATCTAAAAAAATACGGTAATATCTCTATAGTAATAAGCCAATAAGTAACTGCAAGACTGTTGCGAGATTCTTGCATAAGACAAAGACCATGTACAAGACTGAGTTTGCAAGACCAAGACTCGGCTCGGTCTCGCATTTGGGCAACACTAGCTAGATCAAATAATACGAATTAAATGTTGATAAATATGCACTGTATATTGTAACAGTATATTGGGAATAAGTTCGCAAGTGTCATAATGTAATGTAATGTGAATACATGTAATGAATATAATAGACCCGTAATAGCTTATCGTATTAATTTGCTAAAATTTTGTCGAGTATTTTTATTCTCTAATAATATATCTGTCATACTCAAATGGAATAAAATTCTTCTTTTTAGCCAGTATATAATTACACCTTCCAAATGGTATCCCCAAATTAATGATATTAGTAGCTAAGAGGTTACCTGTGAGCACGCACTCAAAAAATCTGTAGCAAGGTCAGGTATTGCTCCACCGCCCTTGACACTCCAAACTGATATGGGACACTTTAATTAAGTCCTCATTTATTTCGTGACATCGGACTACTGACCGAATTGGAAAGGATATGCTAGAATGTTTTTCCATATTTAAAAAAATATAAATTATAGCTCAATCACTAGAATACGGCACTCCGATAACGAATTCTCATAGTGCTAAACAGTTACAAATGTTCCTCTCCAAAAGTTAGATTTATTCGACACTAAGTTAAGTAATAGCTCATGTACCAATGACTCAACGGTCCTTTTTATTTCTTCTATGTATTTTCAAAGGCATATTTTCTGTTTTAAAAGAGTTTTTTTCTTTTAGTTTATAAAAAGAAACATGTCATTTATATTTAAACATTCATAAGCTCAATCAAATGCTTGAAACGTAATAAATTACCTCTACTCTTGTGGGCGCCTCTCAGCATCCATATTTTTATAATATAAACTAAGACTTAACTCAGTCTAGTTGTTATTATATAAGTCATATGTTTTAGCTAATAGTAAAGGTTAGAAGTATATATTTTTTAAAATTATTTTTATATTGTTATATAATGAATCCTTCTGCAATGAAAACTCCTCAAAAAACCCAGAGCACAGCAATAACGATCATCTTGGAAAGCCCTTCGAAATGCTACTTTGCTGGCGAGATGGTCCATGGGATAGTGAGATTTCAGACACAGGAAAATCAGTCAGTTCAAACGTTTTCTGTACAATTGCGAGGAGAGTTCTTTTTCATGAAAGACGATTCCGAACAGACAAAAAATATACTCACCGAGTCGACCCCGATGGACTACAGAGGCGCTGGCGAAGGGAACGTGGAAGTGGAATTTAATCTAGTCCTCAAACCGACCTCTCCAACATCTCTTTGTTCTTCTCTTGGCGGAATAAGGTACTGCATCGTGTCGACGGTAGTCTACAGTGAAAACGATTCGCTGCACATCGCCGAAGCCTCGGAGCCGATATCTGTCAACCAACCGTTTCAGCTCCCTGAAGATTGCTCAAAGCGAGTGGTCAGTACCATCGAGAGAGCAGGTGTAGTCTGCTGCATCAGGACCATCACAGCCGAGCTGGGTGTAAGCAGTGCCTTCTTACTCAGCGGACAAGAGGCGATGATCAGTGGCTCCGTAATGAACGACACCAATTCCAGCATACGGGGTATAACTGTGAACCTCGTACAGTCGTTGCAGCGGCAGAAGGACTCAAAGAAGATCAAGAGGAATGTATTTTCGTTTGAGAAGGGTGCAATTCTCCCAGGTAAGAGGCAGAGCTGGCTCTCGGAGTACGTCATCCTGCCCTCCCTTCCTCCTTCATCGTCCAACCCCTACTTCAAGATATGGTACACCTTGGTCATGGAGATCCAGAAGGCCAGTGGCAAATTGATCAAGCTGAAGATTCCAATAACTATTTGCAATACGCCTGCTAACAAAGTAAGTATTCCTGCCTTGAATTCAGGAGACGTGAAGTTTGAATGGAAGAAAACTGAAACACAGGATGTCTCGAGTGAGTATGCACCACTTTACGTCACCCACGTACCATGAGGACCTCAATTATGATACACATACTCTTAAGAATGTCAGGGGTTACATACCCTCTTTTTTAAGTAAATAAACAAAAAAAAGGGCATTTATTATTATTTTATTTTTAATTTTTAAAACCGAGAAATGTAACGAATATACCTGTATTTTGTGTGAAAATAATAATTTCATCTGACGAGTTTATACCTATCTACCTTCTTTTGGGCTTTGATATTGCCATTGCGGTTTTTTTCTAGTATGTTAATTTATCTATTCAATTTTACTTTCGTATTGTAATGGATTCGTTTTTTCTGCTGTGCTTCGTTCCGGGAAGTTAATTTTTACGTTTTAGCCATCAAGGAACAAATTTGATTGGTTGCTTGTAGTAAAATCTGTGTGCTATAATAACTGATACAATTGTTATAAGATTATACAAAGATTTCCTTAGGTTCATTACTATTTAGGGAAAGCAGTAATTCTTTCAGGGTCTAAGGTTGCGCAAGGAGGTGATTTGATCGAGATCAAGCTCAACCGCCAGGTTTTCCTCCTTAATTAATTATTTTAATTTAGGGTACCAACTTTATAAAGGCTGGGTGAGCCCCAGGAGGGCCTACCAGAGCCGCCTCACGGCTAATGGAACAGAATAAATAACTTTTCTGCCATGAGCCGGGATTCGAACCTGGGACCTTTAGCATTGGCTAACCCACTCTCATGTTCCCGTATTAATACCACCAAATTCTATACAATAATTTTGTTCACGCAGGTGCAGAGTTTAAAGTATTTAAGAATTCCTTATTATCAGAACAGCTTATATAGAAACATTTCGAGGAATAAAAATAGATTATTCCGTTCTTTATTATTTTTTCTTTTCTTGTTATTAACAATAAATTAATAATTATTGCCGAAATTTAAAGGGATCGATGCATTTACATTACACACATATGCATTGTTATGCACAGTCGGTAATCTAAACAAAGATGTTACGAAATCGCTATGTATCGCCTGGCTGGTTGACGTATTCCTTCAACTGATAACTATTGAATTAGCCGTAACTTGTGCTTTCCAGGAAATCTGTTGCAATTGCAACAATCTACCGTTATGAAAACCACCTTTGTCAAGCAGGATGCTAACAATTTTTGGAAGTGTTGAAGTATTCCAAACTGTTTCTTCAAAAAATAGTCCATTGTTTTTTACTTTCGGAAATGGAATATTCCTTTTTGTACCAGCCTCAGTTGGCGATTAATTTTTTTTTAAAGTTTATGCTCTCAGAATGCATTGGTATACAGCAGCATTGGTGCATTGGCACGGTTGGTATACAGTAAGTTCAGCTAAAAAAGTGTTCAAAAACTTTATTTGATTCGTTAATTGGGAAAAATATTATTTATAAGAACATTTTTTTTAATGCTTTATAAAATAAATATAAGCGAAACATAATAGTAATATTCAATTGTCCATATGAGGCCATATCAAAGGCAGACATCTGACACCTAATTCGAAGTTGAGTCATTAAGTTAAATAATAATCTAATTGATTTTATTAAAATAATTAATTAATCTAATATTAATAATTCAATCAGTGATTTGAAATAAAATATGAATATATATATATCATTCTCTACCTTAAAGTCATAAAAAAATCAATTTGTGAAAAAGTAATACCATACCAATATTTTTATTAACTCATAAAATGATTCCCTTGCGATAATAAATTATTTAACTCAGTTTTATTTGGATATAATACATAACGGATATATTTTATTATTCTGATAGAATTTATAGAATAAACAAAGCGCTTTATTTTCATAATAAATCTTAATTAATTTTTATGTAAATCGAATTAAATATCGATTCCCAATGTAAAAACATCCATTGAATCTGATGGTACAATTATTCTTTATCAAAACAGATCTTAAATGTTGATAAAGGCGAAGAGATAGTTTTTTTTTTTTAGAAAGAGCTTTTTCAGAAAGTCCGAAAAAAAATTTTTTTATTGATCTAGAAAAAAAATACAACACTAATATTAACAATAACAAGTATTACAGTGTATTTATAAAATTTTCTCAAAATTCTTAGGAATTTGATTTTCAAGGTTGCATTTTGTTTTTCTCGTTACACATTTTAATTCAGATTTCAAACCACAAGGTTTGATGTGATTTCAATGTATTAATATGATAAATTAAGCGAAATGGAATATTTTTGCACATTTTAGGGATTTATTTCATATTTAGAGGTATTTACTGCACGAGCTTGAGTTTAGTGCTGCACATGTTTTGAGTTTTCGAACTGCATGAAGGTCCGGCCTCTAATTATAACTGTTCCAAGAACTCCGAAGCAGTAATTGGGCTGGAAGTTAATACCTCACCAATTTGTTTCCATCGATGCGTGAGTCGGTCATCGCTTGGCTTAATCCACCCAGTGCTCACTAATTTAATGCAAATGGAGCACAATCGACACATTACTCTTTAAGGCCATAATGAAAAAAGTTATTTCGAATCTTTATATCACTGAACATAAAATTATGTTAAAATTTTTTACGTAAAAGTAATGTTAGATTTAAGGGAAATATCTCGTATAAATTATAGTTAAAGTTAAATCTTTGCTGTAATCGCAATGATTTTTCTATACTGGTAGACTTTCATTTTTACATGTCTTCCAGTATTTCCATATTTTAAAAAATGTTTAATTACTTTTAAAATTATGAGATACACTTAAACTCTCTTACAACCAAATAATATATTCATAATGTTCAAAAATTCTATACTGAGGTTCATTATTACGTCATCAAAGGAGTAAATATAAGATAGATTTTTAGGTATCTCAATTTAATATTTATTGCAATCTTTCGGATTTTTTATGTAAGGTTGTATTATTGTATTATTGGAGGCACTTTTTATGAAAATATTGACGATTTCAAAATTATAAGTTCGCGGGCGATCAATATGATAAAAATCAGGATTTTTACCAATGATTATTATTTATATTATTTTATTTCACACATTAAATCCAGTGAAGCTTTGGAAGACCTGCGCCATATTTTTCTATTTATAAAATACAAAGGATGGGGACAGTGTTCTTGTTTTTCCTCTTTTATTATATTTTTCCTCTTAGTCAGACACCATCTTACTGAGAGGAGTCCTGAGAAATATAATATGAAATTAAATATAAAAAGTTAGGAAAAATAGATGAATACGACGCAGGTCACCCAAAGCTTCTTTGGGTTTCAGATGTTAAATAAAATAATATAAATTATAGAGAGACTGTCCTAGGTAAAAATCCTGATCTCCAAAGAATACCAAACGGTCTAATATTATTTAATAATATTTACGGTATTTTTAAAACCTACACTTCTTCTAACTCAATCGTGGACCTCAATATTGACGAACTGTAATATGTTAAAAATAAATCGGAACGTGACCTTACTATCTCAAAATCGGTAATATTTACACAATCTATGCATAATTTTATAATCACTAATGAAAAATGAATTTTAGTTATGGAACTATTAATTATACAACACATATATTTTGTAACAAATATTAGTTATTTAATATTGAATAGAGTAACGCTTATCAGTTTATTTTTCAACAAAAAATCAATAAATTAATCAGTATGAAAAATAAAAAACAAGATATTTATATTTTTTATTCGAATAATATCTGTGACTTGCACCCATTTACTTCCTAAGCTAAGTTTCGCTCCAAACATGTTTTTGGACATTAAATGTATATATATATATATATATATATATATTATATATATTATATATATATATATATATATTCTTAGTATTATTGAAATTTACGACTGTATTAGTGATAAGTACAAGTAACATGACATTTACAACATGAAGAGAAACTATCCATTGATTGAACTCCGTTTTCAAAGTTAATATATATATATATATATATATATATATATATATATATATATATATATATATATATATATATACATACACACACATTTGAGACCAAGCCGTACATTGTTAACCTATAAGAAACCAGCGGCTGTTCCCTAAATCAATCATTCCTTGAGGCTACGAAATATGTTCAACTTTCATAGAAGGAATGGAATCCGAACGCTAACTCATGAGAACCGCTATTTTCATATTGCTAAACTTCTTTCAATAAAACCGGTAAAGCCAGTTAACAATTCCGTTATTCAGTTTTATTTTCAGGTCCACTTACCTATTAAAAAAAAAAGAAAATGAAATATATAGTTAGTGCAAGTATTGAAAATGTAACAAATTTCGAATCCGTCTTTTTAACCCATATACAAGTTTTGAGGACATCTGGGCCAAAAAAAACAAAAAAAAAAAACAGGTCTTATAAAATGACCAGTGTGCGTGAGCGAATTTGTCGTATCTATGTGAACAATCTAGCTAAAAAATGATTTCTTAAAAAACTTAAATTTTATTCAAGGTGAGATGTCACTGCTACTATAATAATATAATTAAGCCATATGTGATTCGTACCCATTTAAGGTTAATTTACCGGCGATAGGCACTTTAAAAGAATTTTTTTACATTAATGTTGACTGCAGCTATTATTCTGATGGCGGATCTTTGCAATTTTTGGAAATACCATTACTTATACTGAATGGACTTATGATTAATCAAAATAACTTTTCTTTTTTTTTAAATGAAAGAATGTTTTTAAAAACTGAAATTTTATTGCAGGTGAGATGTTACTCCAATTTTTTGGTAAAAATTGGCGGTCTAATGATGGATTTTAAATATTTTTTATAATTTTCTCGAAAAAGACTTACGGCATTGGTCAAATTTTTAATATTGTAATGACAAAAATATATTTACAATACAGTTTATAGAATATACAAATTTTATACTATAATATAGTGGAACAAATTGTATTTCTGAAACCTCTGCTAATAATCTGCTAAACTCGCGTTTCTCTAACATACTAATTTACTGTCTTTGCCAGTACCCTAATTTTACCTATTATTACATCTTCTTTCACAGTACGGTTTATTCATTAGCAGGTCTCTTATTTTTTTCCAACCATCATGTTGCACAACTGATTGATGAATAACCTACTGCAAATGTAAAATGCAAATAGAAAAATTATTTATGAATATATAATTTTGCTTACAGAAAGATTGGTGACTAGTGGCAATTCCAGCAGCTTGTTGCAAGTACATGCCAATACAGGCGAGAAGGCAAAGCATGATCTGAAAAAAATACAAGAATAAGTTACTTAAATTGCACAACAAGTTACTCAAGCTTTAGTTTAGTCTGAAGAGCATTAAAAAATTGTGTATACTATAAATTATAATACTGATAATATTAAAATTCCATTATTAGTATTAAAAATTATGGCCATCAATAATGGTCAGGTTTGCTTATCTTTATTATTAATATTTGACCAGCGACTTATAATTTTATAAATAGCATTTAGTCTTGCTTTTATTTTTTCCTGAATTTGATCGTTTTATTTTAGATAGATATATGCCTGGGATGTTACAGTATTTTTTTCCTGAAAATAGGCTAACCGGAAGTGTCACTTTGTATCTTCTACGTTTTTAACCATTTTCTCAAAAACGGTTTTAACGATTTTGAATGAATACGGTGTATCAATGTTTAACTTAACGGTCTTCAATGTCAGATAGTTCTTATGTCAATGGATGCCCGTTAACAGAGCTTAAATGCCCTATGTTCAAATTTTGTTTTTCTAAAGTAGTTTTAATTGTGTTTATTTTAAATAATTACCTGCCACAAAAAAACAAAACATTTTTTTTAAGTTGAAAATAATAGTAATAATGTATACACATAATATATCTTTTGAAAGCTGATTGTTTTAAACAAAAACAATGATATCTACTATAGAAATTAATAGAGAGTGATGAAAAAATTATAAACAATAATATCTGAAAACGTTGACCTATCGATGGCAGGGAATGAACATCTCGTAACTCCATTTTAGTAAATTTTACGATGAAAACTAATAGTTTAATAAACAATTTTAGTACAGCCCATCTATAAGACACATCTAAACTACCAAATTTATCGTAAAAACATTTAAAAATTATTTTATTTGTTATATTTATAGTATACCTTTATTTATTAATTTATTTTCTCTCCAATCAGGCTAATACCCTTTTCAGATCATTAAAGCTAAAAGCGAACATATTGTCCACACAAATGCTAACTATCGAATATAAAAAATTTCCTACCATGTACTCCAGCGATTGTTATTGTAATTAAATATTTTTAAAAAACGAATACAAAATCTTCAAACATTAAAAAAAAGCACACATTAGTGTGGAAATTAAATCATCCTCGATGTTTGGGCTGAATTGATAATAATATTAATGTGGTGAGTTTCAGATTCGATAGTTAGCATTTGTATCGATCGACGAGTTAGCAATCGAACTGAATTAAACACGGTAGAAGCCTTATTCGATTGTTCAAAAGACAAGTGAGGCTTAATTGCCTTCCAATACCACATATCCCAATGTTCATAAAAGCTTCAAACCTTCCTTCCCCCTTTTTTGACAGAAGAGAAACTACCACATCCAATTCCATTGCCTAACCATCACCCTTAAAGAAAAAAGACAACATGCAGTTCTTATATCTTACAATAATTGCTAACAAGACAATTCAATTCAAAATAACTCATGCATAATTCGTAATTCAAGTGTCTGTCATATCTTATCAGTTTGGGTGAGGACGATTTCATAAGAAATTAAATGATTTCCGCTTAAACGCGTGCTTCCGCAAAAATATCTTCTCACCGAATTCTTGTTTCACACCACTTGGAGTAATAAAAAATTTGTCTTGGGAAGGCTAAAATAGGGAAAGCGGAAAGGCATTCTGCCCGGTTCTTTTCCTCGGTGTAACAGAGGAGGAACGCCGGCGACAGTAATTGCCAGTCTTCTTCAACGCCTTCCAAATTGCTTTGGAAACATTTTTTCCATCAAAAAGCGAATTCATTCAATATTCCGAAGAGAATTTACCTTGAAGCTGTGCACGAGTACGCATTAACATGTATTTCCTTTTATTATTTTTATTTTGTGTGTGTGAGAAGCATAAGATATCGGTCAAAGACTATCGAAGATGTCGATTGTTCATTAATATTCGTCATAGAAATCATTATCAACAATTCAACTAATTACAATTATACTATTGCATAATACTTCACGGCACTAAACCATATATGGTAAGTGAATCCCTTGTAAAATCGGTATAGAGAGATCATGCTGATACGACTCTTTCTAGTACTCTGATTTTCCGAGCTTTTGGCTGATTTCAAACCATTAAAAAAAAAAACAGACAAAAAATATATAGAATAAAAATATTTATGAAGACAAAGAAAACAAACTAAAAGCTGTTAGAGAGATAGCAAATTCACTTAATGTTATATGCAATAAAATGAGATGTTCTGTCAGGCTTTGATGACCCTAGGGTCTTACGCCTCAAAGCACAAATAAACAAAACAAACAAGATATTTTAATAACAAGGTTGATAGTCGGCCATATGAAGATTATTCACAGTTACCTAATGGAAGAGAAATCCCCGACAATGTTTACCTGTTGCAGGCAATAACTAAGTATCAAAAACTTATTACTAGATGAGAAGTCCTAAAAGATGCAAGAAGAAAACTCGGGACCAATAGACAAGCTCTAAGTGACTTAATTACAAACGTAAACAAAAAAAAAATCATGACCAAATCGTACAATAATTTAAATAAATTAAAATCTTTAAGCAGTAATAAATAATGGAACCAATATATGGACCATTAAAGTCGTTATCGGTAATTTTATAAGACACAAAAGTAAGGACCAAGGAGGATTTTGAATTGTTTAATATTGAGAGGAAATTTCTGGTTTAGCATGGATTCTATTATATAGGGGCCAAGTTTGGACATGACAGATAATGACTTATTGTGTTACGTCAGCGTGGATCGCTCCAGGGATCCGGAAACCCTCTTGGGATACACTCAGCCTGTAGTAGGAACGCTTTATTAAAGAAAGAAAAAACTGGTGGCTGTGCTTTATATTGGCCGTACCATCGTACTGGTGGCGTAGAAACAGTACATCCCTACAAAATACTATTCCAAAATCCTCGAAAGATCTTTATGATACTTAAAGAATTTTAGATTTATTACTTGTATAAGAAGCATTTAGAAAAAAAATGTTCATATAAAAAATATTTAAACAATTCTTGTAAAATTGCAGATAAAAATAAGACAAAATTATTGGAATTAACTTATGAATATTTCTTATTACATTTTGAATGTCAACTAATTCTTTGTAATAAATAAATCATATTGATATCTTAGCTATGAAACCGATAGGTAAGATTTCCATACTTTTAACCATGCAAAACATTTAAATAAATTTTACACAAGACGACAATGAACTATATATCTGTTAGAGGAAAGGAAAATCCTTAATGTTTGTTTTCTTATTACATGTTAAAGAATCCCTGAAATTTCAAAAACTATAACACGCCATATTTTAAGTATTATTAGTAAATGAGGGAGTATTATTTACTAACAATACTTAAAAAAAATATATAAGTGAACTGTACTTACTAAGTTTTAATTTTAAGGAGTCTATAAAAAACACTTTTGGGAATTCATTAAAATTATTAATCGCGATCTGATGTGATGGGAAATTGAAAAATTTTCGTTCCATTTTCAAAATATTAAATATAAAAAACATATTAATTAATGAAAATAATTAATTATTACAATCTATAATCAGGGTTAAGCATTTTTAGGAAAACCAAATCCTTTTATAAATGAGCATCTGTTAAAATTTCTAAAGTAAATTACTTAATTTCATGTGTATTTTTATTTTTGTATTTTTTAACATAACATTAGATTTTTTATTTTATTTTTATTATTTCTTTGTATTTATTCTTTTTTTAAGGAATTTTGAAGGAGTAGGCGTCAGCTAAGTGACTGAGAGGTATAAAATTAAGTCGAGACACAGACTGGAAGCAAGGCCGCTAAATCGAACAGAAATAGGCACTTAAAAAAATAAAATAAAATAATTATAGGTTTTTAGATGAGTGATGTAGGTCTGGTCCTGACAGTTTAGAAGGTCGCGATCAGATTCTAATTCGATCAGCATTTTTGATGCAAATAATTCGAACTGTTTATAATTTGAAAAATAAATGTGGAAGGGCAGTGGGTTATTGAGAAAACTCCTGAACCCCTTGGATACCCAGTTACCACAAAATGGGTACCTGATCATTCATTTGATTGAGAAAAACCTTAAAGTTTGTACGAGACACTGGGCCATTCACCTCCTTGTGTAACCGTTGGTCAAGGAACTGTATTTCCTCGGGTAGCGAAGCAAATACTTATTTCGTTGAGATAAAGTAATTATTTTTGCTTAATAAATTGAATTATTCCCTAATGTATTAATTACGATTATCAATCATTTTAATTACCATTCATAACATTTTATGACCACATTATGTAAAATAATAATATATTCTGCTCACGAAATTTTACTTTCCATTTTTTTTATTCCACATTTTATCTTTGTTATTTATACTTACAGAGCTTTTTATTTTTAATACAACTTTTTTTATACAAAAAGACGATTTAAAAAATTCGATTTAGCTTTTTTGGGTTTAAAAATCACTATATTTAATAGAAGTTTCTACTCCAAAATATTAAAATATCACTCCGTTTTTTATATCGTTTAATAAGAAGATCCATTCTTAATCCAAACTGCAGTACGATTTAAATTAGGCATTAAAGTAAAACAATTTTTCCGAAAGGAAAAATAAAAATTCGTTCTGTTGGTAAACCTTGCGTTGAAGAATGCATAAATAATACATTTTTAAATTATTTTTAAAGATCCACTCTCTACGATGTCAACAGATCATATTCAGAAAACCATTATAAACATTTAGGGGTCTCTGATTAACTCGAACAGAACATTTCTATACGAAGCCATTGAGGTATTTACGATAAATCAGATGGCTGGGAGATTAGCTTCAAAAGTACACTCAGAAATTTTTCCACTTCTCTGGAGAACACATATGGACTTATTAATGGAAAAGTTTTGGGGCGAACGAAGATCAAAGAAACTTCAATCGGTCAAACCATAGCTGAGAAACCTTTATAAGATTAGAGACGGTGATAAAAGAGATGAAATATATATTTTTTCTACAATCTGACATAAACTCTTTCCAATTCATAATCCTC